TCTGACTGGTAAATAGCAAGCACAAAACAACTATTAGTTTCTGTCCTCTATGAGCTACAAAATAAAGCTATAAATGTCATTTTTTTTAATTATCTACATAGTTCTTCACTATCAGGAATCTACATCTCTGCAAAACACGCTAAACACAAGAAAATAAGCCCCTCAAGTAAATAAAACTCTTATCAACCAAATCATACATGACCAAGTCCATGAAATAAAGATCATACTTTACATAGGCATCTCCTAAAAATCGTATTCAGACACCATTTGCCCATTTTAACACACTTTATTCTAGTAAATTTGAAAACCTAGTTTCTACACCCAGAGCAAATAAGAATCAGCAACTGTAAATAGTTAGCAAGGGACAAGTAGGCATACTGACCACAGAAAAATATAATTACTCAACAAGGCAGGAGACAGAAAAACTATCAAATACAAATTTAAATGCTCAGAAATCTTGTTATTTTATGCAATGGCTTCTAAATTTTTTTGACTCAAAATTCGAACTATAAAATACTTGAGCATATACCTCTGATATACTCACTTATAAATCGTATATTAATTACATTAACTATTTTAAATATTAATTTGTTTTAATCTTGCAATCACTAAAAATACTATTAATATATTAAGTGAGGGCACTGTTACTGAATATGCTTCTCTATTTTTAAAATGTATTGGTTTGCCAATTTGCAAAATTCAATGTATTTTGACACTTGGTTTTTAAGAGTTGTCATAGACATAATTGAAAACCTAGCTCACAAAGTAACAAAGTATATAAGTAACAGAGTAATGCTTAGCCCTGACTGGTGTGGCTCATTTGGTTGGGTATAGTCCTGTAGAGTGAAAGGTTGCTGGTCAGGTAAGCACATATGGAAGACCAATCAATGTTTCTCTTCTCACATCAACATTCCTCTCCCTTTCTTTCTCCCTCCTTTCCCCCTCTGTTGGCTAGAATGAACTAAAAACTGTTTTCACAGGAGAGGGACATGAACTGAAGGAGGATTCAGAGCAAAAAAGGAACACTGAAAGCTGAGGAAAACAATTTGTTATTTGCTTTAATAAAAACGTCTAATTCAGAATAAATAAGACAGTCAAGTAAAACAATTTAGAGAAAGTTTCCATTAGAGATACATAATTTATTAAGCTGTTCATCAAGTCGCATACTTATACTCATTTATGGAACTAGTACCCTTTAGCTTCATTCATAAAATCTCCCAATTTGGTCTTAAAATAAGAGCTCTAGCAAAAGAAAAATTAAAAGGAACTGTAAGAAAAGAATATTTGGGGCACCAGATCTTAATATACTTTTCTGTCAAAGTTAAAGATTTTCTATTCTCTGGACCTTTTTCTAGCACAGCATTTTCCCAAAGTATACTCAACACCTGCCATTTTACTTTAACTTGGAAAAGTGGTGAAGTTCACTTTGAAAGGAAATTCATTTCAGTAATTTCCCATCCACCAGAGGGCTCCAATATTTCTTCCACAAATGGAAGAGATATAATATTAAGATAAAAATAGTCATTGAGGGCTGAAAACATTTAAATTATCATTATCTCATTTAACCCCAGACTAAAAATTTTTACATCTGCTACAATTTCTACATTAACAGTTGAAATAGATACAGAGCTTTTAACTGTTTTATCGTCTAAAGTGTTTCAAATATCAGAACTGCTTTGCCATTTTTCTCACATTAATTGTAAATTTATCTTTTAGGTAGGGTTTTCAATTTTATAGATATCATCAAATAAAATTTTAAATCCAAAGCTCTAAATAGTAGCTCAAATGTTTTATATAATACTTTTATAAATACAATTTATTTCTTCATAACTTTCCTATTGCAGAAAATAAAATTACCACCTTATTTATCTAGCCTTAGGCCTTATTATTAACAGATAAACATTATCTTTAGGAAGATATCTACAGTCATTAACATAATTTATGCTACAATTATAAACAATGCATAATGCCCCATCTTGACCTATGATTTCCGCTGAGGGAAAAAAAAAGGAAGTGAATCATTTAAATACAATGTATTTTAATGGTATTTTGTTCAGACAGTCTCAGATTTTTTTCACAAGTAAGTTATTACACTGGAATGGTAGTAAATCTTACTTCAAATTCACTCTTAGCAAAAGAAAAGCCAATATTTTATGTAAATTCATTTATATTATTTATGTCATATGTATAGAATGTTAATTGGAAAAGTATCAACTGCAAATTATTTTTTAAAGAGTATAGCAAATCCATTCACTAGGGGTGCCACTCCCCCTCCCCAAAATCAACTTGCTAAATTTGGATTATTTAAAAAACAAAGACACTTTATGGTAAATAAAAACTGAATGTTTAAAAATAAATTTTAAATGAGTTACATTTACAAAACAAAAAATATGCTAAAAATAGAGTTTAAAGTGAGTCACAATCACTACTATAAGACTTTCCAAAAACAACAATTGATTTAGCAATGACTGTAGCTCAAGGATAAATGATCTCTAATAAAAACATGACAGAGATTGTAACTTCATTCCCCCACCTCATCTGCCAAATAGGATTTTCCTATACAACTGACAAGAGCATCTTTAACACGGAAAAAAGCACAACACTTCTTTCTGAATAGCACATAAAAGCTATCACCACTTATAAAGCTGAAAATTGTACCACACCTCGCAAAAAAAAGTGTGTATTCGTACTTGCAAAAGCACCTATCCTGATCACTTTACAGGTACTCTGCAAGGGAAATGTCAAATTCTAGAAAGAGGTGGGGTGGGAAGGCTAACACTTTTCAGAATGGCAAAATTGTTCTCATTTTAAGTCATGAGTAAGAAACACAAATTGTCATTATTGCTGTGAAGAATTTAAAAATATAAAGCACTTGATGGACAACTTCTAACCACTATTTACCTTATTATATTTCAAAAGTTGAGAATTCTAGGAGCATTTCAAATGAAGGCAACTTCTTAAAAATGCTAATAGCAAATAAGGTTTAAAAAACTTTAACATGGGGGGGGGGGAATCTCAAGACTTCCAACAAGTTAAACAGCTAAAAAAAGAAAACATTAAAAATAAGCAGAACAATTTCATCTGAGTTGTGCCCTAGACACACTCTGAAATAGCACCATCAGGATATTATATGTTTATTACATAACACTGCTGTGCCCTTGCATATCACCTTTAATCAAGGGATCTCAAAGCACCACAAAATCATTAAGGCCTTAAAATACGGTTTAAAATAGAAATAGTTATATTTTATAATTGCAGCTATTAATAAAACCTGCCACTACTTCCCAGTCCTGTGATCCAAACATTAGCTTCCAAACCTTCTGACTTGGGAACAGTACTCCCCAAATCATTTCATTTTGTGACTGATGCTACGCACATTCCAGCTCTCCCTCATCACTGGGCCCAAAGAAAGTAGAGGGACTGTTTTAATGACACAAATCTACTTCGATCTAATTCTGTGATAGAATAGTGCAAATATCTTGCAGTGTGCAGAATCATATAAAATGGTGGCTTTATAGAGAGCAAATTTTTGCTGGAAGTGATGAGCTCAAACACTTAACAAATGGGAAATAGCATTTTGCCAGCTCAGTCCAGAGACCTTTCCAGGCAACTTCTAAAGATTAAGGAAACCATTTTCAGCTAACTCCTTAAGTGGGCAGGACGGTACGGAAAATTAAAAGGACAATGTATGAATTTTAAAACTCAGGAAGGAGAGTATAAGGTTGTTGAGTGGCCACCCAAGCGACAGAATGTTGTGGTTCCTTCGCATTTAAATAGCACATTAAATGGGAAATCCAACATAAGCAAACTGTCTTTAAACCAAGGTCAAAATATGCCATTTAGAGTCATTTAATTTTTAAAATTATTTTAAAGTCTAGAAATGAGTTTTGCTCCTTTAAAAACATCTGACATTTTAAGATGTGATTATCAAAGTTCGATTTTGGTTTTTTTGTTGTTGTTGTTGTAATACACGAACACTCAAATGTAAACTAAATGAAAGAAAATGTAACTATGTTAATATCAGTTCTTCCATAAACAGGATTATTCATCTTGTTGTTAATTGTATTATGTTTGTCTTTAGGACCGCAAAGTGTAATTTCACACTTACACAAACCTACTTCCAGTACCCTGTAAGCTGACACGGTTACTACAGTTACTCAACAAATTCGCAACCTTAACGTTTACAAACAAAAACAAAAGCACTGATAAACAATACTTTTTGTTCTGCGTTCTCAACATTCAAAGATCAAGGCTCAATAATGTGTTTTATTACCTTTTAAAAGTCCAATGATATAATATGTACTACCAAATATTTAGTGCTAAAAATCCTGGAATATTCATTAAAAGTCCCAATATACAGTCAGCTTAGATTTGTGAAAATTCCCAAACATTTTAATATTTCTGTTGCCATACTTGTTCACCTAGATACTTCAAAAAGCTCACCGGAAATTCTCGTGGACTTTTTCTTGAAGAGATATACGACCCTCTTCTCTTGCAGCTATTAATAAAACCTGCAAAGATCAAGTCTGTACCTAGTGCATGACTGAGCTAGTCAGTGTCAGAGAGCAAGGTTCCCGTTTTCCTGTCTGCGTTTCCATCTAGTAGGGACCCTCGTCCTCGGCTTTGCCCACCGTCAACTGTCGTTTTCCGATGCTTTAAGATACAAGTTACAAGTGTTCAGACTTCTGGCAGAGAAAGATCTACATTTCAAGTTACCTCGCTACATTTTTCCGACTTTTCTTGTGTCTTTGATGAAAAAAAAAAGGCACACACACACACACACAAACACAACACCCCTCAACCAAAGGAGAAACCCCGAACTAAAATCGGTACTTTCTAAAAGGGGGAAACTAGAACCTCCAACTTCTCCATATCTCCCAGCGCGGTGGCTTTTCAACAGTCCCCAGCAAACCCTAGCCCCACGTCTGCATTCTTTCTGATTAAATATGATTGGAAACCACGATTAAATCAAGGGGTGTCGTAACTTAGCGTTCACTCACCATATCCGCCGGGACATTACTGGACATCTTGCCGCTTGATATTTACACCCAGATGTTCACGGAAAAAAAAAAAAAATACACAACAAAAAGAAGGAGAAGTCTTCAAGCCACAGGAATCAACGTTAACGATCTCGATTAGCTCGTTATGTGCTTTCCAAAAACTAAGTGATTTGCGAGCCCAAGTGGCGGCCTGGCCAAGGTTCTGCGCAGAGAAGAGCGATCCCCAGGAGCCGTGAAGCCCGTGCGGAGGGCACTCCGGGAGCGGGAGCGGAGCCGCCTGTGGTCGTCGTCGTCGTCGTCGTCGTCGTCAGCAGCAGCAGCCCCAGGACCGGCCGCGCTAGGTGGACCAAGCCGAGTGACACACGGGCATGGAGCGGTGGGAGGGGGTTAAATGCGGGCCGGCAGTGATTCACACTCGCGCCCGAGTCCTCATTAAGCAGCAAAATGCCCCGACTGCCGGTACACAGATAACTATGCGACTACACATGGACGCGTGAGCTGAGTGGCCGGCGGGGAGAAACGGGCTCACCTCGCGCCGTCAGGGCCGGGGGCCGGGCCGCCCGAAACCGCTCTTAAGGGCATTTAACTCGTTGGTAGCCAAGGCCGAAGCCCGGGCCGGCGCGCGCGGTGCGCGGAGCTCGGGCCAGGGAGACAGACCCACCGCCCCTCGGGGCTCAGGCCACGAGCGCCTCCGGGCCGCAGCGGCTCTCGGGGCGCATCGTCTCCGCTCCTCCGCGTTCCTCTCCGGCCTTCCCCTCCCCTCCCTCGGAAGCTCCAGCGACGCCGAGTCCGGCCGGTCCCCGGAAGAGGCCGGTCTTCCCTCTCCTCAGCCTGGCAACGGCTTTCTCTCAGATCTTTGTCTCTCCTCCACTTCTCAGTCCCAAACGCCACAACCGCCTCCTGTCATCGTCCCTCAAGCCAACATGGCGGTAGCGGCGGGGCAGCGGCGGCAGCTGCCGGAACGCAAGCCGGGGACACAGGGAGCTCACCCCCACCTACTCGCGGATGCCACCCCCGCGCACCCCCTCGCGGACACCAAGTGCGTCACTACGGAGTCCACCTTGGAGCAACACGGGAAGTGTAGTCTCTGCGTTCTCGCCCGTCTTCGAAGCCACGCCCCTCCTAGTAACAGTTGCTAGGAAAGGAAAGCTTGCTTTGCCAGGGCTCTGCCCTGGCGTCATGTGTGATCCGGCGTATTATTTAGGGGGGAATAATTCTGCACAGAGAAGTCCCCTCATGTACAATATATACACATATTTAGAATATGGTTTACTTCTAAGCAGAATCATTCGTTTTAATGACAGTGCATTCTCCATATTCTGCAAAGTATTTTGTGCAGTGATTTCCTTTGTCCCTTCAACATTACAGTTGGAAGATCAGAAGCAATCATTGATTTCCAATGAGGTCGTACAAGTTCAACAGGAACACTGATCTTATTAAGAAGCGAAAATGTTTGAACATGTGTTTTCTGAAGACCCAAAGCCATAAAACTACAAGATAGTTAATTGAAATTACCAAAAACTGTATTAGATACAATAGTGAATAGTGCTAAATCTACATCATGAAAATAGCTACTACAAACTACACGGGAATTCACTAGTTTACCAGGCCAGCCTTTAGATTCTAATTAACTCAAAATGTAACTGAAAACCTATAAACCTGCAGTGATTAGCAAATAACACGAAATAATACCATTAGAGATATATGAAGAATGTCTACTCCAGATTTAGGAACAAAATGCAGAAACCACAAATGTCTATCTGACTCCATATTCATGTCTCTCGGTGCTTAGGCAGAATATTTTAGGAAGGGCAGTCTCAATACAACACATGTATAAAAATGCCAACAGTCTTGTAGTCTGAAAGCCACCCCTCCAACCTACAGCTGTGACCTCATCTGTAAGTCTTGCCTTGACTACCTTCACCATTAAAATAGAAAGAGTTCATGCAGGAGAAATAGATTGCTTTGTAAGTTTTAATGCATCATTTGGTGTGTAATGTTAGTACCTGTTCATTCAGCAAACAACTATGCCAGGCACTGCTAGGCATCAGGAGTTTTAAAATGGGTAATCCGGGCACTGTCCACAAGGAATGCTCTGTCCGGCAGCTTGTCATTCCCCACAACGACCTCTCCAGTCAGGTTTGTCTCTTCAGGATGATAACTCACAGGGCACATAGAGTGCACGTCTCTTGAGCAGCCTGGCAAATTCCCAGCACTGCTCCGGGCTACCCCATCCTCTGGTGAGTTAGGATGGTAAACAGAAGACGACTGAGCAAATACCCAGAGAAAATAAAGGACAGAGGAAATCAAGGCTCAAATCACACCACAGTTAGGCCTCAGAACTTTGTCGAGACACTTCTGAGTCTGTAGCTCCATGATTTTCCATGGCCTTGGTACTTGATTACTCATTCTCCACATTTACAAACCGTAGAAACCTTCTCATTCCTCCAGAAATAAGGGCAGTGAAAGGGCTTCAATTGACCAATAAGTTCAGAAGGAATATTGGAACACATTTTGAAGGCTCTTGCTCACAAAATTAGTTCCCCAACATACCCCTCACACTGACTTTTTATCTATCCAACGACTGCCCTGACCAAGGTTCTGCCAGGCCTCCAGGCTACTGCAAGAAGGAAGGCAAGGAGCGTAAGATGGCAGGACTCATGCAAGTATCAATTCACACCTCTTCTGCCTTCCAAGGGCCATACAGCAAGGCTGGAACAAGGCCATGACCTTGGCATTTCTGACATAATGTTACTGTTTGCTGCCAGTTACCCTTGCACCACTGCAAAAGACCACATACTTCAAGTAAAGTCACTGCACCTAGCTCTGTTTCCAATCACTCTTGTAAGAAAGGCTGAGACATTATTCTCAGTAAAACTCATTGTAATTCTTCCCTGAGAGAGGCTTGAGAGCATTACTGAACACTGTGTAGATTCTCTTATCTTAACTCTCTGCTTCCAGACTCAGACGAGCGAGACAGGGGGCTGCAGAAAGAGCCCGGTTGTCTACAACAGGGAAGGGTAGCATTTTTCTGATCCCATTAATCTATTGTCAGCATCAATCTGAAGGAAGCGAGTGACATGGCATTTTTTTAATTAGGAAAAGTAACTTCATGGGAAATCAAAAGACCTGGCTCTGCTACAAATCAGCTATGTGACCTTTGCCAAGGTACCTCCTCCCTGAACATCCATTCCTTTGTCTGAGTAGGTGGAACTACATCTCTAAGGTCACTTCTAAGAGCCTCTGAGTGTCAGGTCCCAGAACACTGGCACATGGCACCCATGATCTGTTAAAAATATCTCCCCCCACCCAAGTTACTGCTCATGAGTATGAAGGGGGTTTTTATTAGCGGGGGTGGAAAGGGGATGTGATAAAAATATTCTAAAATTAGATTATGATGATGGTTGCACATCTCTATAAATACACTAAAAGCCATTGGATTGAACACTTTAGATGGTGAATTCATTTTTTATTTTAAAAATTATGGTAAAATACACATAATATAAATTTTGCTATGTTCTTAGGCGCACAATTCAGTGGCATGGTCAGAAAGAGGAACACATGGGTCAAACCCTAAACAAGAGACTAAGGAGAAAGGTGCAGGGAAGGAAAGTAGCTGAAGCTCAGAGCACTGCATGGGAGTGGATCGGGGTAGGATAAGAAAAGGGTAGGAAAAAGACATTGGAGGTCAGTCACCCAGGGCTTTGCCATTTTGGTTTTGCAAATTAGTTTGGATTTACTCTGACAGCAAATGGGAACCATTAAAAAGTTTTAAACTGGGGAGTGTTGTGATAAAGTTTGTTTTTACAGGATGGAAAAAGGCCTGTGAACTCCAATAATAGCTTTTGTCTGTATTTTGCGGGTTATTTGTCCTGGGTGCAACCTCTGGGACCCACATAATTTAAAAGTTCTTAAGGGGTCTTAGAGATGATCAAACCCCAATTCTTTATTTTACAGATTAGGTAACCTTCAGTTTAATAGGAGACCAGGCTGATTCCTAATATAGACCTGGTTCCACTACCTCCTCTCCTGCCAACAAACTTCCAAAAACAAGAATTTTTAGTCAGTCTGCTGCATAATATATTCAACCCAGTATGCATTTTCTCTTTTATTTTTAAAGTAAAAGGTAATACTGATAATATAGAAATTCTGGAAACTAGAAAAACTACGTTTTTGTATATTTTTTCCAGGTTTTTGGTGTATATGAAATCACATACTTATGCTATACTGAGTTTTTCTTCAAAATACTAAATCAGAACTCATTTTTAAACATTAAAGAATGTGCATGTTTACAAATGGCTATCTAATCTTTAACTCTTCATTTTTAAAGGCTGCATATTATTCCACTGCTTCAATGTCCTACAATTCATGCAATCATGTTCCATTTGGAGGCCATGAAGATTGTTTGCAATTTCATACTCTTTGTGCATCTAAATCTGTCTGCTCTTTGAATTAGTTGTTTAGGACAGAGTCCAGACACTGTTGTCACTGAGTTAAAGTCAAAGCATTTCTTGGATGGCACAGCCAAGTTATTTTCCAAAAGGGTTTCCCTGCTTAGAATGCTACCTAAACGTGAGAATACCAACTTACCATCCCCACCCTAACCCCAACCCTTCCATGTATCTGTAGCTCTATCTGCATAATATGTTCATACACCCTTGAAAAAGTAGTGATGTACAGTGATGGCAGGGGAAAATCTGAGCCCCTCCCCAATAATCTCACCAACTCTGCTCTGAGTAAAGATACAATCCAAATAAAAAACAGTGTCTGCTATACAAGCACAGCTTCAGCAAAAACCCCACATCCCAAAACACATCGGCATGCACACACACACACACTTTAACCAGATAGAAAACCCCTCATATTTAGAAATTTTGGAGCTGTCCCTGACTGTCTGTAGTCATATATTAGGTTTAAAAAAAAAACCCATACTTTGTAGTTGTTCATTGTGCACTGTGACAATTTTTATAAGATTGAACCTTTTTTCTATTCATAATAAATAAATATTTTTGAATGGTTGACCCTAAGCAAGCAGAAATCAGGCATTTAGCACAGTAAGGTCCAGGCCGGTGGGGGACTAAACCCGGAAGGCCTGCCTGGGCCACAGCTGGGGTGGGTGCATCCTGGCTCCTGCTGGGCATGGGCCCGAGATTCTGGTGGCAAGGACAGCAGCAGCCCTTCCTCATTCTCCTGCTGGTTCCCTTGAAAGACCACTCATTTGGGAGCTTGTTCTCAGAATCTAGGTTCACTGTCATGACCCTGGAGTTCTAAGGGTCTTTGTATCCCCAGAATTTAGCATAGTGAATCAATAACACCCAAGAAAACTTGTCAACAGCGCATTGGAGCCTTTTACATTCTTTTCCCAGTTCTGTGATTCTGTAATGTCAGTGATTACCTTTTAATCTTATATTCAGACCTAGAGCTATGTCTCATGAACACAGAAATGATATTCAAGGCTTAGTTCAGTTGTTCTCCCGTGACTAAAAATATGCCAAGAGAAAGGAAGACAATTTTTGTGTGAATGCTGGAGTTCACTTCTGAAAAAATAAAAGTTACCTTTTTAATGGTAAAAGTTTTAAGCAATTTTTTGCAAGTATTCAACCATGATTGTTGTGCAGTCTAAATTCATAGGCCACCATAAAAGTAACACTTGTGTTTTTGTTTCTTGCTGACATCCTGCAATGTCTTCCTTTGTGACCTGACCCCACTTTTTCCCACACTGTTGAATCAGCCAATGCTCAAGCTGGAAGAATTTTTACACATGACATTATGTCCATATTTTTGAACAAATGAGGAAATAGAAACTTCTTGAGAAACAGCCATGTTCTCGCCATAATTTTCAAATGAACATGAGAATGAGTTTTCTCTAAGGTATTCCGAGAGACAAAAAGACAGAATGGTTCCTGATGGCTTTATGTAATTGTTGAATCACTAGATAATTTTGTCTTAAGAAATGATAACTATCTCAAGTATAAAATGTATTATCAAACTGATATCCTAAAACACAGTCAATATTATTGATTTT